GGCTGGGGCTGGAATCCAGCTGGAAGCTGGACGGAGCAATCCTTTATTAGCAAAATCTGCAGAGTTTCACTGGCTACGAGCAGTGTCTCATTTTGTCGCCTGGCAGAAATACAAATGGCGTTCCTTATCCCCATGCTAGCCATTCGGGGGCGGGGGGGGGGAGAAATGGCTCACCTGCTCCATGGCATTCCATGGGACAGATTGTTGCTTCTGGCTGGTGGCTCCTCAGGCCCAATCCTGCCTTTGCTTTTGCTTCCTGGGCAAGTGGATGCAAAGGTGCTGAGCCTGGAGAGCCAGAACTGCTGGGTATGGTGCCACTTGCACCCAGCCTGCAGAGAGCTGCTCTATATCCCCGCATGGAAGGGGGTGATTCTTGCCTCCATTAGCGCCTTGTGGTCCCCAGGACCTCACGTGTGGCTTCATAAGAGCACTGACAGTGCTCCTCCTGCCACAGTCCACCTCCTTTCCTCTCTCCTGTCTGCACTGAAACACAGCCAGCAACCAAAGGTGCACAGGGATGTGCACGCTCCCGTTTCCAGATTAATCCATGGCAGCACCACAGTTCATAGCTCCTTGTGTTCTGACTTCAGGTTCTCTGAGCTATTTCTGTCCTACTCCCTGCTAACTGGCTGCTGGCATAGCCCTCGAGATGCTCCGGACATGGAGACCTGGTCTGACCATCCCTTTCTCCATCATCCAACTGCTCCTTGATGTTCTCAGTCACTCTCCCCCCTGTAACCTGTTATCCCTATTGTACAAGTATCTTACCTTCTGCACCCCTGTTTTCTCTCTTGCTGGGCTCCATGAGCTCTCCGGGAGTGAGAGCGATGCCCACAAACCCACGCCATCCATTCGCCACATCCCCTGGTCCATTGTCTTCCCAAAACCCACCAGGACTTGGCCCTATGCACTGCTGCACCAGCCAACATCCTGGCCTGGCAAAGCCAGCATCCCATGCTGGTGCCATCGCCTGGAGCAGATGGCAGCAGCCGAATGGTCCCTTCCCCATGGCTGGCTTTTGGGCTGGGATCACAGTGGCCTCAGTGTGCAGGCAGACAGCGGCATAGGGGCGAGGTGTGGTCATGGCAAAGATAAGGGCTATTTTTAACTTTGATAGATGATGAGAGCTTATTTCCTGACTCAGCTTATGCAGCACAGCACAGCACAGGTCTCCTTCTGCACATGGAGATGGGGACAGGGGGGACATGGGTGTTTTGGATCATCAAATGGCAACCCTGAGCCTGAAAATGGATGTTGTAGGAGCAGAGATGGGAAAGGAGCAGGGTGCCAGGAGAGTGGAGCTGGTACCCTGTTGGCTCAGGTTGGCGTGGCTTGAGTTTGGGATGTCCTGGCTGTGCTCTGGGATGGATGCTGCATCCATCAGCCTTGGGTCTTTCTCAGCTTGTACTTTCGAGTCCCAGGCATCATACTGTGAGCTACTGTGGGGCTTCCAGCCTGTTTCCACCAGCATCCTGATCTCTCCTGCCGAAAATCCTTGGAGCGAGCAGAGGAGATTCCCATGGGAGCCAAACCCTGCCTTGGCATGGTGGATTTATGAACAACCGTGCACCTTTTTGGGGTTCAACAAAACCGAGTTGCTCCAAATCCCACCCTCTCCAGCTACTGGGCTTTGGAGGGGCTGGAGGATGGTGAATCATACCCCTGGGGCTAGGCTGCTCACCATAGGATGGGGAGCTCACCTGGATGGTGGTACCCGGTCCAAGCATCCCTGTGCCGTTGGGAGGATGGGTGACTTAGCACGTTTCCCCAGCCCTGCTCCCCCCATGCTTCCCTCTTGGCCTCTTCCTCCAGGAGCCCTGACACTAATGCAGCGGGAGTGCGGGATTGATGGGCGGCAGCCCTCCAACGGGGCCATCCGTCTTGATTAAATTAGCCCTAATGGCTCTGTGCTGACTCGCTCGAGCAGCCGCGCTGCCGGCATCGGGAAGGGACCTGCTGGAGACCCCACTGGGTCCATCCCCTCCTTTCACCCTCTTGCCCTCCTTCCCTTGCTTTGCTGGATCCTAAGCAAGTGGCTGAGTCTGGCCTGGCTGCAGGGTGAGGGTGGATCCCCACCTGTTTCCCCAGCCAAAAGCCTGCCAGGAACTTGGGGTTCCCAGTGCTGCAGTCCTGCACCCACCCAGAAGCAGGATGATGGGGTGATGCGCTTCCCCATGGCTCTCCCCATCCCCAGCGCCGTGGTGCTCAGAGCTGATGGGGGACCTTCCTGCTTCCCCCAAAGCAAAAGGAACCTTGGGGCTTGCTGGGATGGAAATCCCAGGCTATTTATTAGCATCTCCTGCTGTAAACCAGGGAGTGAGGGGTAAGCCTGGCAGGGTGATGGTGACACCAGCCTCACCAGTTCTAGCTGCCCAGCTCCATCCTGCCCTCCCAGCCAGCCCAAGGGCTGCAGCCCCACAGCATGCCCACATCTCCCCCTGCGTTTAAACCCCACGTATTTCCCACTTGCTGCTTTGCTGCAGCAACACCGAGCTCGAGCAGCTTGAAACTGCTGCCCTGGCAGAGCACTGCGCTGGGGAGGGGGCCAAGACTGGGGATCCTATAGCTGCTCCCACTGCTCTCACCGGTGCCTCTATGCCTTGTCCTGGCCTGTGTCCAGCTCCCTGCCCCAGCCCTGCAGCCAATTTCCAGCCTGCCCAGCATGTTAATTATCATTATTGCCGGAGGGAATGGATGGAGCTGGGGGGCCGGAGCAGGGAGCCTGGGGCTGGCACCGCTGCCAGGGACTAAGGGGATTGGGAAAGCTTCCCATGAGTGATGGGCATGGTGGGGTGGAAGGAGAGGAGCCCTCAAAGAGGAGCAAGCCAGGGTGTGAGGGGCTGCCTGATAGGCTGAAGGGAGCAGTGTTTTGGGGTTAGGATGCTGCTGACTGCCCCTTGTTCTTTGGGTGGTTGTGATCACCATACCCACCATGCAGGATCTTGTTCCCTGTGATCTGCAAAACCCTAATCCCCACTGGATTCATCCATCAGGACTCAGAACAAGGCCCTGCAGTGCTTTTCACCTGGGGATTGTTGGTTAAAAACAAAAGTGGTTTTATTTGTGTTTTGATTTCACCAAAGTGTTAGTTAAAATTTACTGTGGGGTTGGTGCAATGGGATGAGATGGGGAAACTGGTTTGGAGAGGGAAGGCAGCACTGCCAGCATCACCCTGGGATGCTCTGGAGTTCAGGGGTGTTTGGGAGCAGCGAGGGGAAGCACGACGCTCCTTTGCTGTGCTGAGGAGAGGATGGGAGCTGGGGATGAGGAGCATCGCTGCTCCAGGATGCTGCCAGTGGGAAGAGGAGAGGGAGTGATTGCTGATCCCAAACCCATGTTGGGAAGCCAAGAGTGAAGAGAAGGCTGGGAAGGAGTGGTAGGCGATGCAAAAGGGAGATGGGGCACATGGGGAAGCTTCATGGGTTTGATGTGACCCGCTGGCTGCATGGCAGCCAAGCTGAGCCGTGTTGAGCATCACTGTTGGGGCTGGAGGGCTCCTGGCTGTGACTCCTTGAGCGAAGCCCACGAATCCCCAAAAAAGGAGCAGGCAGCAGCTCTGGGATCTCGCAGGGTGAGGAGGAAGTCTATCAGAAACTACAGACGGTGGCTGGTTTGCATCTCCCTCTGGCTGGAAGCCAGCCGGGGTTGTGAGCCCACTGCAGCATCCCTCTGTGTCCCTGCCTCCATGGGGGGGGCAGAAAAAGGCTGCTGGAGCAAGGTTCCACTTTGACCCTGTCCGAAAAGGCCTCGCTGTTATAAGGACAGAGTGACCTGGAGGCACCCAAAGCCTCCCGAATGGCTTAAAATAACGCTCACCACCACGAACCAAACTTGGACTCCAATCAATCCTTAACAAAAAATAGAAATCTCAGCCTGCGATAAAGGCAGAAGCGGTTCAAATCCCAGCCCTCCTCTCACCTCACGCAGACCCTGCCCCTCATAAAGCAGCCGAAAGCGGAGCGAAGCCTCCGGGGACGGCGGTACCCGCCATCGATTTTTCATGGAAGGCGCCCAGAAAGGACGGTGATGGACTGCGGGGCCGCAAGCCCCCGACCGCAGCAGCCGGCGCGGGGGAGCTGAGATGGATCCATGGGGAAAGGGTTGTTGCTTCGTCCTGGTTGTGGCTCTCGGAGCTGGGGCCAGGCTGGGAAAAGCAAGCGGAAGCCATCAAGGTAAAGGAGAGGAAGCGAGGAAGAAGAAGGGCCGAAGGAGTCGGGTGAAGCAGCCATTAGGAAAGTGCTGATGCAGAGGTTCACTTGTGTCTACGGGCAGAGTTGGAGTAGTTGCTGTTCACGGACAAAGGCAGTAGGAGGGAGTGGAGCTTTGTAGAAGCTGGAGCCTGTCTCACTGGGTGTCTGTGTTTCATTCCCTGTCAAAAGGCTGGGAGCTGGAGAGAGGAGAAGGGAGGGGTGGTGGTGGTGGTGGAGGGGGGGGGAAAGCAGGGAAGCGGCGAGCTGCAGCGCTCGCTCAGGATCAGATAGCAGGGAAACCAATAGCAGCGAGAAAGGAGGCAGGAAAAAAAACCGGCAGAAGAAAACCAACCCACATCAACCAACCAACCCACCCACCCTGCACGCTGGGGCTGAACCAGGCAGGTCCCTGCCAACTCCACAGCACGCAGCAAGCAGGGAAGAAGTCCACCCTCCCCGGGCAGGAGCGGAGTTGAGCCCGAGAGGATATTTGATGACACTTTGGCGACGATGGGTCCCCCAGCATCTTCCAGAGCCCGTTTGTGGCTGAAGGCTCTGAAAGCGCAGAGGGAGTTTGAAGCGAAATTCACCTGAGTCTGGATCTTTTGCTCGCTGGGATTTATCTGTTTTTATTCTTTATTTCCTCCGGGGGGTGGCAGGGGGAAACCAAACCAAGAAAAACAAACGCGTGGGGTTTATTTTTTTATTCAGAATCTCCCCCTTTTACATATTTTTTTTTTAATTTAATTTTTGTTTTTCCCTTTTGGAAGAAGATACGTTTATTATTTCCACCCCCCCCCCACCGCTCCCCCCCCCAACAGTGGTTGGAATGGAGGGGTTGGGTCTGTGCCTAAGAAGCAGCAGCCGAACGTCGGTCCTGGAAGAAACCCGAGTGGATCTGGGGTCCCCCGCCAGCTAACTCTCCAGGACCTGCAGCCCCACGGCCGGGGCGGGGGGGCACGGCTGGATGCAGTGAGAGGTAAGTGACAAGCTCCAAGCGCCTGCCTGCCACAGAGCCACTGCTCCTCCAGCTCCGTCTCCATCCCAAGTCAGAGGCAAAAACAGCAGTCTCATAGTGAGTCAATCACTTCCACCTATTGCAGCCCTAATGGGGAAATCAGACGGGGGAAGTTTCGCACTCCGTCACCCCTGTACCCAAAATGCCAGTTTGGGGATGGGGAAAGAGGGGGTGGATTTTACCAAGCTGACCACTATCACTATACCGATACCACGGGCCCCCTCCCTCCCTGCCTACCCAAAGGGTTTGCTGTTGGCTTTTTGGGAGCGCCGGTGCCGCGCTTGCCTCCGCTCGCTTCCCACATCCAGCTGGCTTTCCCAAGCCAAAACTTTTGCACACTGCCTGGTTTCGGGAATGCCCACGGCAGGGCAATGCCCCCGTGTACGTGCCCGCATCCGTGTGCCCGCGCGTGTGCGATGCGCGCTCGCGTGACCCTCTTCTTCCTGGCTAACCTGGACCATCGCTGGGGTGAGCTGATGTGAGAGCAGAGGGGTTTGTGTCTGTGTGCTTCGAAGGCAAACTGCAAACCGCAAGGAAGGAAGCTGAGGGGAGGGGGGGGAAGGCAAAGGGAGCCGACAACGACAGCAGCAGCAGCAGCATAAATTGCATCACTGTAATAGTATCGGCGCGGAGCACGAGCCAGGCTAGTAAAATGGTCCACAAAATGAGCTGTACTCAAGTGCCTCCAGTTAGCAGCACCTGCACACGCCTTCTCTGGGTGCTGGAGGCTATCTGTATTTTTAGCAGCCTCTCTTAATTATAGAGCAAAGAGTGTTCGAGGAGGGGGGAATGGTGTGTATTTAGCAGCATCCCTTCCCAGGCGCGTCTGCACTGAATATGAGCACAAAATCACCAAAACAAGGGTTTTGTTTTTTCCTTCTCTCCCCCTTCCTGCACTTGTGGTATAGAACCACCTGTTTAGCAGCGGTGTCGGCAAATGAGGGCTGGGTTTTCTCCTTTCCCATTCTTAGAAAGCGTGGCGAAGACTTTGCTTGCGTGTGGGAAGGATGGGAAGCGGTCCTGTTGCACCCCGAATCAACCCTGGCCTCCTAGGGGCTGTGAGACATCCCTGCTCCCAGCCCGGGGGTGACACTGGTGGGGATGGGGACTCTCGTGCCAGGTCTTCCCAGGGCTGTTTTACAGCTCATTGCAAAGAAAACCAAGCCCAAAGCCTGCAACAACTCATTTTGCTTCTATAAAGCTCCTTCTCCTCATCCCCTTCTCCGCCAAACTTTCCAGGGCCTTTTGTTCCGAACAGGAGGTGAAATTCCCTTTGTGTGAGCACAAAGCAATGGAGCTATCAGAAAATAATGAAAACAAGGCTAAAAAACCCCATAATATAATAGTGATACATTCCTTGCCTGCTCCTTTCAGGCCTGGAATAACAGTGAGTGTTCCATCTGTGCTGGATAAGCACTGGCTTTGCTGGGGGAGGCACCTTAAAGGCTGCTTTATTTCTTCCTTCTGATTTATAGGCTCTAAAATCCACTATTACCTCTGCTGCTCTTTACCTGAAAGAGTTGCTTTATCTATGGCGTCAAAGTGGGTTTTTTTCCGAGCCCTGAGATGACCCCAGGGAATATGGCAAATCCCATGGGATCCGTCGGGGTGGGATGGCAGCGTTCCCCCTGGTGTGGTGTTTTGTGGGCATATCTATGGCTTGTGGGTTCCCGCATCTCCCCACCATCCATCCGAGGCTGTGGAAGCATCATCCCTGGCAGTGTGGTGGGAATGGTTCTCCAATACGGATAAACTTCGGAGGAGCTGTCGAGGGAACTGCACCATGAGCTAAAACCTGGCATTTCCTTCCCTGTTGGGGTCTGGGTTTGGAGTGTGAATGTCACTGGGAGCTTCACCCAACCTCTGTGCAGGTAGAGGAGAGGGCAGCGTGGCACTTGGGAGGATGCTGTCTCTAGAAGGAGCGGGAGCGCCGCCGCTACGAGGGATGGATCCATCCCCTTCTCCTGTCACCACTCGGGATGTGGCACACGGAGCAGGCACCTTATATAAGCAGTGATGGCAGCGCTGTGCCCTGGCCGTGCTCTGCCATAATGCTCCACCACTGCCAGCCCCTATGGCCTTGGCTGCCTCCCTTAACCCCTGTTTTGGGGGTCCCCTCTGGGTGCAGGAGCTGTTGCATCACTGGGTGGCCCATAATCCTTGCTATTGACCGGGGGTACCAGGGCAGTGAATGGCTCCAAGCCATTGTCTGTGCTTTCTGCTTAGTTCATGGTTGCATCTTTACGGCACTGGCTCCATGGTCTCCGGGCCTGGGGAGGTGCTCTTGGGGCTTAAGCCCCTTTATTAGGCTCTTCTGCACCCTTTGGTTAAGGTCCAGCCCTGTTTGGGTTTGACAGTGCAGGGCAAGGCTGCTTGTGGGTGAGAAGGGAGAAACCACCCTGGTTTGCTCCCATTCCTGGTGCTGCCTCGCTGCAGGAGCTGGGAGCTGTCCTCTGAGCGTGGGGAGATGGGCTGGGGAAGGACCTGTGTCCCTGTCCCTCTGTCCCCACTGCATGGCCTCAGTGCCCATCCATCCAGCTGTCCTGCTCCCAGTGTGTCTGGAATGGAAGGAAGGAAGGGAGGGAAAAATGAGCATCAAGGGAGCCCCTGCATCCCAGGGCCCACTCCAGCTCTAAGTTGGGGTGGGAGGGTGGTGGGTGCCTGGTGTTGCTCCCCACAGCTCCGTTTGACTGTGGGTCTGTCACCTCACTGGGACATGCCCCTCTTTTCCCATTCCTGGCTTATTCCCTTGTCCTAGCTCGGTCCTTCAGTGCCAGCTTTGATGCTTTGGTCCCAGCTCCTGATCCCCAGCTCGCTCCCTCGTTCCCAGCTTGCAGCGAGGCAGGAGTGCCGGTGGGCGATGGTTTTCTTGCAAAGCTCTTTCAGATTCCCCCGTTGGACTTTTGAAGCATCTGGTATCACTATCGCAGCGTCATTATGAATTAATTAACATTAATTTCCTGTTCTGGTATCTCCTATTGCTGGGAGCCTTTGCCTGGGCTTTCTTCCCTTCTCCCCACCTCCAAAAAGGAATGGCCAGATCCAGACCATGCCTGGCAGAAGGCCAGGGAGAAGCCACATGGTTGGGGGGCCATGGGCTCCCTATCCCTGTCCTGTGCCATAGCAGGGAATGCTGCCGGCTCTCTGCCAGTCCATGAGCCAGGGTAGGGCTTGGTCCTGGGGGAGCCCTGGTGCTGCCAGCACTGCCTGCCCGCTCCCTGTGCTTCCAGGATGGATGATGCCCACTGTGCCATCCCTCACCTCTGCTTCCCTGCAAGGCAGGTGATGCTGGGGCTATCCCACAGGGGCAGAATCTCCCCTTTAACTCTGGGAAGCCCTGATCCTGATTCCCCAGACTGCACTGGAAGCAATAGGGATGCTCTCCTCAGGGATGCTGCCCAAGGGTTGTTAACACCAAGGATGCTGTTCCCCAGGCAGCACTGGAAGCAATAGGGATGCTCTCCTCAGGGATGCTGTCCCAGGGTTGTTAACACCATGGGTGCTGTTCCCAAGGCATTCTGATCCTAAGGAAGCTGACCACAGGGGTGCTGTCCCAGGGATGCTAATGCCAAGGATGCTGACCCCAGGAAGGCTGTCTCTAGGTTTGCTGACCCTCTCGAGACGCAGGGATGGGGAATACACACAGCAGGCTGGGAGAGAGGCCGGGATCCTTTTCCCTGGCTGCATTCATCCTGCTCCATGAGTCACTCTGAGGGAGGCGCAACCCAGGAATCACAGCCTGGCCACCCAGCTCCATCCCTCAGCTCCCACCTACATGGGTGAGCCCCGGTAAAGTTGGGGCTGAGGGTTCCAGAGGACTCAGTGGGATGGGAGCGCATCACCCGTTGCCCCCCAGCTGCATCCCACCCCATCTCCAGCCCCACAGCTACACAGCCCCCAGCACACACAGCACACACCCCACACCCCCCACTGCTGCCCCCCTGCCACCACCGTGTGCCCCTCATCAGGGCCACCCTGATCCCCTTTGCACCCCTTGCAGTGTGAGCTGAGTTAACGGGGGGTCCCCCCCTTTGCTCCATGACCCCGGGGCCGGGCTGGGGTAAGGGGGGGCAGCCCCCCAGATGGGGTGGGGGGTAACCCCGGTGTCCTACATCCCCGGAGCCCGGCTGGGGCTTACATAACGGCGGTGCTGCAGTGTGCTCTGCTCAGCGCCAGTGCCACCGGCAGAGCTGCAGCGCGGAGCATCTCCCTGGATAGCTGCTTTTTGGGGAGAGGAGGGAGGGACGGAGGCACTTGAGGAGCAGGAGAGCCCCAGGGGATGGCTGGGCACTAGGGATGTGGCCTCTGCACCCAAGCCTGTCTGCTCAGTGACCTTGGGAGCCAGAGTTCCCCCCCCCCCCGGATGGTAGTACCTGGTGGAAGGAGGAGATGGGGAGGAGGAGAGCAGAACGAGCCCTGCTCTGGTGTTAAGGGAGGGATCAGGGTATAGACCCTGTTGGCATCCCCTGCCAGCCGTGCTCCCATCTCTGCCCTGCTCAAAGAGCATAGCCCTGCTGTGCAGGTGGGGAAACTGAGGCAGGAGGCTGTGGTCTCCTGGGGGAACAGGTACCAGGGTTGTTCTGGATGGGGAGGAGGAGATGGGACATTACCAGCCTCTTGGATACCCTTGAGCTGGAGGAGCCCTGGTCCAGCTTTAGCTCTGCCCTCAATGTCCCTGCTTGGGGCTGGCATGTAGGGGCAAGGACCGGCTGATGCTCAGTGCAGCATCTTTGCAGGGAGATGCTGTATGTGCTGTGGACCGGTGATATGGGGTAGGGGGGACAGCAGGCAGGCCACAGCATCCTTTGAGCCTCTGGCTTGGGTACCCAGAGAGGAACAAGGTGCCGGAGCAGGGAGCATGAAAGAGAGACCTTATTGCCAGGTTGTGCAGAGGCCGTGGTCTGGTGGGGGTCTGTGTGATCGATGCCAAATGCTGGGGTGCATCCGGAGCTGCCTCAGTGCCGGCAGCCACTGGGAGAACTGGGGTTAATGGGTGGGCTCAGGTTGGTACTCACTGAGGGTCCCGCTCCATCCAAAATGTCATCACAGCTGCACTCTGACGTGGCTCGATGGATGCAGGAGGAAGATTTGGGCCCCAGCTCCGTCCCAGTTGTCACCTAATGCTATGGGGACCTGGCAGGTCTCTGTCCCATCCTGAGGATGCTGGGTCACCTGGTGCTGCACCTCCATGGTGCCTCACGGCCAGTGCGAGGTGGCCTCAAGTAGGGGCAGATGCCACCACCCCTGGGTGCTGCCTGCTTGACAGGGCAGTGTGGACATAGAATCATGGAATCAGCCAGGTTGGAAAAGGCCTTTAAGATCACTGAGTCTAAGCATTACCCCAGCACTGCCTAACCCATCACTGCAGGAATACCCGGTATGATCCCGGTGTGAATATGGTGTTACCCAGCAGTGAGAGCCAGGACTCCCAAGATCCCCATCCTCCCTGTCCCATTCTGCCCATCGCTCCCTGGTGTTTTTCCCCGGCCCCAGTGCCGTGGATCCCAGCTTCCCACTGGTTCCCCATCCAGCCCTGTCATCTACGGTGCATGGCAC